CAGCATTGCCAAGAACTAAAATTTGATTAACGAGATAGTTAATGTAAATATTAGATGCAATATCACACATACAAACACACATGAAAAAAAAAACCTAAATAATTATGACTAATGTAAATTAAATACTATAATTGAGATGTACTTAATAAGAAAGAATGATTGTAACACTCTATTCCATATATAAAAACATCACTTGATGTATTATATTTAACCTTCAATTTCCTCTCTCTCACTCCTTATTAAAAGTATGTAATAATTGTAATGAGTAATTATTTTTTTAATTTTAAAGAAAAAAAGAATAAGGATTGACAAGCGAGTTTTATCCCTTTTTTTTTTTGGTAATTATTTTGTATTAAAAATGAAAATTAATTTTTAATTTATTAATTGCCATTAAATTTATTTACTTAATAATTATATTATAATTAATATTAAATTTTATTTTTTTATATTTATAAAAAAAAATACTTCTAGAAATACAAATTAAAATAACGTATAAAATCTAAGGGGCAATGGTTTTCATTCTTTTACTCAACGTGCAACTTTTATAAAACTTAAGTCATTGCCAACGTTCTGTCTGAAAACTAGAATTTCATATCAAACACATAAAATGTTGGGCCTTCTCCAACTCCAAGAAAACAGGTTATTATTTTTTTTTTTAACGGTGAAATTAATTACAAAATTTATGCTTTTTATTACAAATTATATTTATGTTTAAAAATTTAATTGATCATTATTTGTCATAATATTGAGTTACTGCAATTAATAATAATTAATTTTATAATTATAAAAAAATGTAATTTTAGTGCGAAAAAATAAATACAATTACTAGTTTATTTTTAACAATTCTGTGTATCATAATTAAAATTATTTATGTTAAATTAATTAAATACAAAAGTGCCTTATTTGTAATTTTCGTATCTTGTCACAAAAAAGGGGTCCTTTAATGTGACGAAAAAATTATCACAAACTTATTTGTAAGGGTGCTCATGATATGATTTGTTTGGAATTTTAATATTTTTTAAATTAATCTAATTTAATCGGCCAGTAAAATTTTTAAATTACTATAATCTACTATTTATTATATGATAACCAAATTAATCCAATTTAAATTAGATTGGTGTGATTTGGTCAAATTGATCAGTTTTTAATATTATTAAATATATAAGATAATATAAAAAAATTTAATATCAAATATATTACATAACTATAAAACATATTAACATTTAAATAAATAGAAACATAATTAAAAAAGGCACAAATTATAAACAAATTTTTATACTCCTTTATAATTGTAAAGATTGAAATTAAATATATGAAAATTCATTTTAGCTACATCACTAAAAGTACCAAGGATAATAAAAGATCACTCAAAGTTTTAACTACAGTGCAAGTAATTCTTAAAAATTAAAACTAATTTTTTAATACACTAATAAGTCAATCACATCCTTTAAATCCTGTTAAAATCGAATAAAATCTAAAATGAATATTACTAAAATTGATTAGAAGCATTTATAACTAATATTTAAAACTTCTTAACCAAACATCTAAGAATAGCAAAATATCAAGACTAATTCTATTATAAAGTTTTAAAACTTTTAGATTAATAATTTTTTAACGCTTAATTAGTTTAGAATAATAGTTCTTTAAAACTTAATTAGGAGAATTAGAATATCATTTTAGAAATAAATTAGAAATTTAGAGTTTTAAGAGTCTAGTCGTAAACCATTTTTGAGGAGTAAAGTTGCATGTGAATTAGAAATTTAAAATTAGGATTAGAGTGCATGATTAAGAAAGAAAAATAAATTAAGAAACATGGAGATACTCTATTTTTATTTTTTAATTAAGTTAATGAAATTATTATCTTTTGACACAAGAAAAAAAATTTTAAATACTACAAATATATATTGTATTATTTAATTAAGTTATATTATAATTAGACTTTATTTAATAATTGAGCAGTTTTGGTAATTCAAAGATAAAATTACAAACCAAATCAATTATATCAATTTTAAAATTTTATAATTCAAACAACCCAATTTTATTTCAGTTTGATTTGATTTTTAATTGAATTGAATCATATATATAAACACCCCTACAAATATAAAATTTTTAAATCACTAATAATTTTATCTCAAATTAAAAAAAAAAATCAATTCTAAAAAAAATTCAAAAAATTTTAATACAAATTAATATAAAATTAACTACTACAATTATTATTTATTTAAAATACATTTATTTTTATTTAATAATTTTAATAACTACTAATTAAAATATTTATAAGACTCAAAATAAGATTATTTGGCCCAAACCCAAAACTTTAAGACTTAGAAAATACGTTGAATATATTTTAGGCTTTCTTTATATAAAGCATTAGTAAATTAAACCTTATCTTTCTAAATGACATGGGATTAAACAATTTTTTATATAGAGTACTACTAAGATTTACTTTTTATTCCTAAATAATATGAGATTCTTAATTTTTTGTTCCATAATTTTACTCATATATACGTATAAAAGAATAAAAGATGTATTAAATAAAAACAATAAAAAACTCATCAAACTAAATGCAATTGCCATTCTACAAAGAAATCTCAAATTGGTATTATGTATACTATTATTCATATATAATTTAACATGTAGTTTGATTGCAATTTGATCTTGATTTGATTGTTTATCTATGTGGTCCCATATAACGGTAGTACTATTGCTCTGTTGGAATGGGAATTTAATTCCAATCATTGAATATTATTTACCTTGTACTTTGAAACAAATTATTTTCCATATGGGAATGAGATTAAACTATTGGAGTGGAATTATAAGTCAGTATGCCTAAGTTGATAAAGAATATGTATAATCTTTGTTTTGAGATTGTTTTTTTTTTTTTTTTTTTTTT